ATAATACCTTCTGCTCAAAAAGTATCCGTATTTTGTTGTTTGTTAACTACTCCTTAAGTAATAGACCTTTTTCAAAAAATTTTTTGGTATGTTGGTTCACCCTTTCTTGACATATGGTACAAATTTGAGCGCCATCTGTCAACAAGTTTGTTTACAGCAGCTGTTAATATGAGACTACCTCAAGTGCATTTAGCGATATTTACTATGGAAAATTCTTGTTGTACGCGATTTTTTGACCAAACTCGGCACCACTGTCATCGCTCAGGCACAATATTCGCCAGATCTGGATCCGTGCGACTTTTTCCTGTTCCCGAAACTCAAATTGTCCCTTCGTGGTAAGCGTTTTAAGTCGATTGAATCGGTAAAAGAGAATTCACCGAAGGAACTAAAAGCCATACCTGCACGGGTCTACGAAAAGTGTATGGAAGATTAGGTTAAGCATTGGCATATGTGTATCGCTTCAGAAGGAGAATATTTTGAAGGAGATAAAATAAATTTGGAATAAAATTAAAATTTGTGTGATTTATTTACAAAATCCGAATACTTTTTGAGCAGAACGTATAACCTATCTATATATCGGAATGTACTTAGGTAGATCAATTGATTTTACCTGATTTTATAGCTATTTCTAGATATTAATGTATATAAACATATATAAAATTTGACTTTTTGAAAATGTACAATTAAATACAATTAACATATAATTTTATTTTTTTATTATAAGGCTTATAGTACTAATTTATTAAAAACACAGTGTGGGAAAGCAAAGGTCTTAAACTGATAGTATGCTTATTGTTAATATAATTTTAAGATATCTGAAACTGATTTTGAGATATCTTAATTAAAGGTAATTAATTTAAAAAAAAATAAAAAACTATTAATTTTGCTATTACAACGCAAGTAAGCACTTGGTTTCAAAATTAATTGAATTCTTGATTCAATAATATCATTCACAAAAAAATTGTATAAATTGAATTATATAAATTACTAAAAAAAGGAAGAGTAAGACAATTATTTGAATTAAATCTGCTATATCAATATAAATATTCTATATTCTATCTATTTTGAGTTACATTGAAACCCTTCTTTTTCGTACGTCCAATACGCACTAAATATTTTTCTTACTGCGATTATCTCTTTTGTGCTTGACTATCCAATGACTGAGCATGACAAATTAACATTTATGAAGCGTTTATTTAGATAATATATGAAGCTAATTATAGATAATATATCAATTATCAATCTTAGATTTACATGTGTATATATATATATATTTACTGTATAATACTATCTCATTATAAAAGGTGGTTAAGTGCGTTGAATATAACATTAGTGTTTTGGGTAGTAATTCGAAGATGATTATTAATTTTATTGCTATAATAACAATAAATGCAATTCTAAACAAGTCTAATATTTACTTACATTCATACTTGCACAACCATGCATACATAGTTAATAACAACAATAAAAACAAAAACAATAGTAGCAGCAGCAGCTGTTAAAACTTAAAAGTCTTTATTGCAGAAGAAAAATAAAAGTTTCGTCAAATTTTGGCAAATATGAACAAATAATTTGTATATAATACTTTGTAAAAATATTAAAAGAATTATTATATACTTAAGTAAAAGGTTTCTGTGAGATAATGAAGGAGTTTGAAAATATTATTGGTGAATTGAAAACAAGCTACGAAGAATATAGTAGTACAATATTATTATTATATTTAAAACAATATTTTTGTTAATCACTTATTAGTTAACAATTTCATTTTAAAAATATTTAAGATATAATTTAATTTATATATAAATTTATAATTTAATTTTTATTGTTTGATTGAAATCTTGTTAAAATAACAGTTTCGATATGAATATTGAACATCATAAATTAATGGATTTCACTTTAAAATATTAATATCTTTATATTAAGATTATAAGGTACAGTATAAAAATAGAATAGTATTTGTTTTTCATATTATTTATCGAAATTCAAAAAGATTTTACTCAACTTATGAAGTGTGTAATGCTTTGTCATATATAATTTTAAAAAAAAAAGTTTACAATTGATTCATTTATCTACTTAAGAATAGATTTGAATAAACTCACAATTCTTTTTGAATTCTAAATATTGGATAAAGCTTTCTAACTTAATAAGTAAAATAAATTTTAATAATATCTTTCATACATACATTAATTACTCGTATAACCAGTTCAATAATCAAATATAGATAAACACATCGATTGTATAGATTTTTAATATTATTATCTCAGAACAATTTAAAAATTTGATTTAGAATATTTAAAATTACAAGAGTACTAATATAAATATTTGCCACTGTAGAAAATATACGTACCCTTTGAAGACGAAAAGTATTCAATCTCAAGAACACTAAATTTGGTTTCTCCAATCTGTGATCTCGATTATTTTTTAAAAAACGAATATATTTTGTATCTATTGATATGAAAACTGTTACACGTGTGACAATTCAAAATCTTTTTTATA